CAGGTCATGGCTATTGCTCTTAGCATGCCATAAACCGTAAATAGACAAATTTCTAACCTTACAGGGAGACCGTTACTCCCAGGGTTCACTAGCTCTCCAGCTATATACTTCTAGTCCAATCGGAATCCTTTTATTTTTAAGAGAAAAAAAATATATTGAAAATCTGAAGTTTTATGATTTCAATATGTTAGCAGGTATATATAGAAATAAAAATTCGTAAAACGCACCCTATGCCCAGCTACCCCCGAGAAATGGGGGGGATGCATAGCGTTGAAAAATAGTTTTTTTCAATTTTCGGCTTACTGTGACGTTCTATCGAAAAATATTTTGTATAAAAGTTGTAGGTCTAGTAAAAATCTTTTATAAATGACACTTTTTACAATAACCTCAAAGTTTTCGAGATATTTGCAGAAAACACGGTTTTTAACTTCTTCTTGGTTTTTTCATTTTTAATTTCTAGAATAATCTTTTGATTTCCATGAAACTAAGAGAATGTTATCTTCGAAATAAATATACTTAATAAATAAAAAATAAATAAATTGAAATGTTTAAAGTATGTTTTATGGTCCCGAGAGGCTGAAAATCACCCCCAACTTCAAGCGGGCGTTTACATAGAAAAAAAATTTCGTTCAATTTTCATATAGGGCTCATTCTTTTCGTCTTGAACTCTACTTTTTGAAAATATAAAAACATTTTATGGTCATCTTGTAAAGACACCCTTAAAAATTAAAAAAATTGGAGAAATGGATAATTTTTACTTTGTAAACTACATTTTTTGCAATATATCTGTGATGTATAATGGTAGATTTGTTTATGTGTATTATATTGTTGGTGTAATTAATTTGTACTCTCATTGTGAAATAAACGGTCAACGAAGTACGTGCGTTTCTTTTGTCCCCGGCTGCATTATTGTGTATAGTTCTCGTAGGCATTTAAATATATTTCAATATCTAATAGGTAAATATGTGTTTTACGTATCGAAATATAGAGATATATATATATATATATATATATATATATATATATATATATATATATATATATAGATTTGCTTTGCATCGGCTGGCACCGACTTTGAAAATATCTGATTAGGTATCTATGCCACTAAATGAAAACCTCCGTTTAGATATTTTTTACATTTTAGTGCCTGAAAGTCGGTTTTTATTTATACGGAATTTCTATTCTTTATATACCTGCAAACATTTTAAAATCATAAAACTTCAGGTTTTCAATATATTTTTTTCTCTTAAAAATAAACGGATTCTGATTGGTCTATTCCCACGTGATCCCATTTAAAGTTTTACGAAATTGGTCGAGCCGTTTTTAAAAAAATCAACAATAAATTATTTTTAAATAAATGGCTTAATCGAATATGTTATTAAAATAAAAAAAAACGTTCTTCTTACAAATTACCCACTTACCTTATTACGTTTACACTAAAAATAGGAAAATAAAAACTTTAAACTTTATAAAAAAAAATGTAACCAACTTCCAGACACAGTGAGACACTGCACACAGTGCCATCCGATACAAATCAAAGCACACCGACTTCGAAAATAAATATCTGACCAGGTATCTATTCTAAATGAAAACACCCGTTTGGTTTTTTTTTACTTTTTAATGCCTGGAAGTCCGTTATTATTATTTTTTTAAAGTTTTGAACGTCTCATTGGTAGGCACGGGCCTCCCATTAATATAGTTTTGACGACACGTTTGGCTCAGTTTGTAGTGACCCTACTTGCTGTGCCAGCAGTCGCGGGTTCGAGCCCGCTAGGGGCATTCATTTGTGTGATGAGCACGAAAGTTTGCACTCCAGTCATGGGTATTTATATTTATAATAATGAGTATGTATTTAAAGTTATATGTGTATGTGTAGTAATATTAACTATCTGGTATCCATAACACAAGCCTCATAGGCGTCATATTCCAGAGATTTAGAATACAGAGTTCACTAACCCCAAGCAAGCACCTTACCAATGCAATAATAACAAGTTTTAAATAATTGTGCTACATTTAGATGCCTATTGTCTACATATATTTAACGAATGGAAATTTCTATAATTTTACAATTTTTATAATATGATGATCATGTTCTCCTGACCGATTCCGGCTACGGCGGCCAATCTCATTGAGACGAGCTAACTGTGTAGGAGATATTATAGTGCACAAGTGTACGCGAAGACACAGGTGCACTCTCTATTCCTGTCACTCTCATACTCCAGTGGGACGACCACTCGACACGACCAGTGAGAGTTAAGGCGCAGGACCGACGGCTTTACGTGCTCTCCGAGGCACGGGGGTGAAACACCGCCAACTTCCCAACTCCGGGCTGTTACTGAGGCTTACTATACAGAAAGACTCAATAACTAAACTTGGCCCACGCCCAACCCGGGACTCGAACCCAGGACCTCCGGGTGTGCAGCCGTACATGCTAGCCACTACACCACCGAGGCTGTTAAATATATTATATTTTATAATATATAGTAAGTAGATATACCTACGATGATGTTTCAGGCTGAATATTTTTCATTACTGATATAAGCAAGCATAAGCTATGTTATTTACACTTTTGGATAATGAAGTAATCTAATGTTAAAAGAATTATTCAAATTTAAGTTCAGGTTCAGTAGTTTTAGAGTTTAGCGATTTCAAACAAACAAATCTTCCCTCATTATAATATTATTAGTAATTAGTACCTACAGATAGGTATCATATTAATGAGCAAGTATTATATGTAGCTATTATTTAATTTATTCTAATTGCAGCTAATTTTGTTATAGGATGTTGTACCTAATAACATACATTCTTATGAAATTTAAAATCGCCTCTTACCTTCCGCCCATAAATACGTGAAAAAGAAACTTGGTCGGACATCCATCTATTTTCCGGTCCCATTACATTGCCAAATTTTCACTGTATTTCATAAATGATTCTATTCATAACGAATAAGGGGCTTTCATAATATAAACATGGGTTTTTGGATTACAAATATTTATTCCACCCCATAGGCGTCATAAAGCAATGTTTTGCGGACACGTGCCGGCACGTGATCCGTTGAAACTGCATCCGCGTCGCGTGTGCCTTCTATAACATAAGTAGATTACAAAGACTAACTCGCTGCCGTAGAAAATTACTCAAAAGAAAATTACCGTTTAAAATATACCTAAGTACCTATTCACATTAATAAAACTTTAATGCAAGTATTCCTTAAACCATTATTTCTCGTAGAGCAAAATAAAAAGTTCAATTATAAAATGTACTTAAGTGTTTCAAATAAATTTACTTATCATTGAACTAAACGTGTAACTTAAACAATTTTACACAGGCAAAATAGTGTTGATGGCAGATCCCATATTTCATTCCATAAAAATTTGGTAAATAGTCTATTATTCCGAAAGAGCTTCTAAAACTGTACCTAATTGTAGGAATGAAGTAAGTGTGAGGTCATTGTCATTAATTTTGAATTGCTAAACTTGATAAAATGGATCGCTAGTTTAGCATACCTAGTCGCAAAAAATTATAAGGTTCATAGCTAAAATAATCATTATAACGAATTTAACCAGAAAAAAACGCTACCTTGCTTAGTAACTATCCAAGAGCAAGTTTAATTATATTATACCTGAACATATTTATACTTTCTTACCTAATAAACTGTAGAATTTATATACAAAAGTAATAAATTAATATGAAGACCTATAAAAACTTTAAAAAAGAAAAAGAAGTAGGTCATAAGGTAAAGTATGCATTAAAAGACTTTTCGTGCTTTTGATATAAAATTTGTATTAAACAAAGCGAAAAAAATATTCCCTTGCAATATGAAAGCAAACCCGTAGCTTTTGTAAAAAAAATATTATATGATATAAATTAACAAAGCTACTAAAGAAAAAGAAACAAAACTAGTTATATTTAAAATAAATATGAAAAATTCTTTCTCAGTAGCTTACGGAATTCTTGCATTAAAATTCTGTAAGCAAACATTGAATAAAGGGAGACGAAGATGTAAGGGCGCGACGTGATTACCGTCGACCAACCGGATCGACCCAGCCTTACCGTCCTCTGTAGGTACAATAGTCCGGCGTGATTTTTCAAGCTTAGGTATTATAGAACGTTTGGATCATTGGAAAATATTTTATGATTTTCTCTGTGATAAAAAATTCTAGCCTTACCACGATGCTTATAATATTTTCATTTTGTTCTCATATTAACATTTTCATACTTATAGAAACCATTCATCAATTTAAAACACCAAATTGCTCTACGGATTACAATTTACATTAAAATTTAGTATAATATTATGCCTGCCACCTGCCTCTAGTTTTTATGGTAGCTACTAGCTACGCTTGGCTAATAACCACAGCCTCAATTAGTAAAACAAGTGGCCTTTGGAAATAAACTACTTATTCAAGTTATCCAAACTTTCAAGCTTTATTTACTTATAGAATCAGGTCACTTGAAATTCTTAGTGCAAATATTGGAGCAAGGAGAGGGAGGAACGGACGCGACGTGATTACCGCCGTCCAACCGAGTCGACCCTACTCAGGATTGTAGGTAATACGAAACATTATGACTTTTTGCACCAATTTACAGATTTGTATTCATGGCCATATTTTTTTATTATTTTTAAGCGTCATAGATTAAACAAATAATATATTATGTTACTAGAAACAAGTATTTTAGCTGTAAAAAAAAATATTTTATATATATGATACGCTCCAATAAAAACTTATTTATTTTTGTAGGTACAAATTAAACTATGAAGGTGTAATAATGATGTACATGGTTAGGAAGTAAAAAAAATTAGAAATAAATTGTCATATTCACTTCGTGCATTACTTAAAAGATATTTCAAACTAAATATTGTAAAAAATATTTTTTATATCAATTGTATAACATGCATTGTAACAAAGCAGTGTGATTTATTATTTAAATACCGTACCCCAACATAGTAAAATTTAAAATTGATTCAAGGTTTCTAAAGGGGTTGAAATTTGATTTTAGTTATGGCGTTAAAACCAACAACTTGTAAAGAAGCGATCGCGCGTTGGGAGAAAAATAAAGGAGAAGTTGCTGCTGACGCCACGGTCATAGAACTACAGTTTCAGTGGCCACCCATTGAAAAGATGGATGGCGCATTATCAACACTTGTTAGTTGCGAGTAAGTAGAGTCGAGCTTAATAATTGGGGGTGCGGCCTCTGAATAAGAGGGTACAAATATTTATTTTATATAAAACAACAGCCAATAAGTTGAATATAATATTATTATTTATTACCCATAGGATGATACAATTATCAAACCATTTCATCTATAGCCGTAAGTACTAAGTACTTACCTATTTTCAGTGCTTCCTTATCAAAACAAGGTGTCCTAAAACGTATAAATAGATAAAAATGAATATTAAATTATGAGCAACTCAATTAAATTGCACATACCTAGAATTAAATTAACCAGAGTTCTTAGTAATAAACGGTTAAGAATCAAGCTGAAACAATTACCTATACTAGAACATAAAATACTTTCGCTGTCCTAATTTAACGCATACGCTTTCAAAGTTACATCAGTACCTATCTAATCCACTATAACGATGCATTATTTAAATTTGTATTTCTAGGAAATTGAGTTTATCTTCGAATATGATCGACAAAATAGCTGGAATAGCTGGAATGCGAAGCTTAAAAATATTGTCACTGGGCAGAAACTACATCAAATCTTTAGCTGGCATAGTAAGTTTACTTAATATAGAATTAATAACATTAAATATTTGTTCAGAATTTTTATAAATTCTCTAACTTTATTATAATTATTTTATGTATATAATTTTTTTACATGTATTTTTTTTGGAAAAAGGAAACGGTGGCTGATACTCTAGAAGAGTTATGGATTAGTTATAATCCAATCGACAAATTAAAAGGTGTAGGAGTATTGAAAAACCTACGCGTACTCTACATGTCGAATAATATGGTTAAGGAATGGGTGGAGTTTAATAGGCTTCAGGTATATAATAATAATAATAATATACCCCTATATATAGGTAGGCCTGTAGCTTCCTACATGAAAATAAATTTCTGTTTTCTATAAGTAGCGCGAAGAACAGAAAGTTTAAAATACATAATTTCGAAATAACCATCCCGTCGAAATAAAGTTATAGCTTTAACACACGATTTTATCTGTACAATAATAAGGACAGGCAAAAAATTCTAAAAAATATTGATTTACCATCTATTTACTGTTTAGATACCTACTTTTCCAGCCGCCTTTAGATATTTCCTATGAAGCGACTCGGCGCCATGTAAAAAATGTGGAAATTTAATAAGCAATATATTTTTAAGGATTGTCCTGCCTTAAGAGATCTGGTTTTCATTGGCAACCCTTTATGTGAAAATCAACCGGATATTGACACCTGGCGCACCCAAGCTTCTAACCGTTTGCAGCAAATTACTAAGCTAGACGGAATTCCAATAGTCAGAGATACTTAATAAACTACTTACCTACTAACAATATATTTTAACCTATTCTTTAAGTGCAATATTTTTACTCAACTATATCATACAATCTAAGTACTTACTTGCTTTTTATAAGCCTCATATTAAATCTTTCTAAGTAGAGTTCTTACCCGCAGATTTTTTCATTATTTACACTCATAAGTATTTTAAGATAGGTAGGTACTATACCCAAGAAGTTAGTCAACTAAAGATTGAAAATATTGTTTCAAAACTTTAATTTCTGTATTACATCATTTTGCTCTACCAAATGTAAAAGTATTATACTTAAATTGAATCAATTTAATCATAATGTTCGTTCATTATCAAGATTTCCACATATAATAAGTCAATTATAACAATTGTAGGCAAGGTATCACCGTCTCGTAGAATTTATTATTCGTAATGAGTTGTGATTGCGTGACCGCTTCTATAACAAAGACTGGACCACTTGTTTAGGATAGAATGTAGAATGACAATAATAATCCAAATAATAGCCGCGTCGCATCACCTTACTTGACATTTATGACAGATTATGACTCCACTAATAATCGTCGCACACGCCATCTGTCTATTAGCCCACGCTATTTACATGGCCGCTAAGATTGAATTCTATTAATCGAATAATAGCGATAAATTGATTACAACAGTGATTCAATTGTACAAGTCTATATACATATGTATAATGTATGTATGTACATCAATATTATGTTTGAGATTTTTTCAGTAAGAATTGAGCTGTCTAAATTTTACTTGAGATATTATAAGTCAAAACTTATTTCTGCATCAATATTCGAGAAATGATTAGACCAACATACTGCTTCTTTAAATATTGTTCTTACCTAATGACTTGCCCTCGCTTCGCTCGGCTGCGTCCCTAGGTACGTGCACATACCCACCGTTGCTGCAGTTTAATAGGAAGATCTTTTTAGGTGGAATAATTTTGTAATACATTGTTTTCATATAACTTTATTAGTTTACTCAGTGCACACCAATAAAGCTTCCAGACGGCATGATTGTTTCTGACACCTTCAAGAATCATCATCATATTTCAGCGAATTTACACATTAATGATTTATTAACCTATATATTTATTTAATATATTTATTATTTATTCCTCATGAATCACTCCATCTATTGGTGAAAACCGTATAAAAATCTGTTCAGAAGTTTTTTAAGTTTATCGCGTTCAGACAGACAGACAGACGCGGCGGAGGACTTTATAATATGTAGAGATTAACAAAGATACAATAAAACAATTTTTATACGCTAGTAGATAATCAAAATTGTGATAATTACCTAATTTAAATATCATAAAAAACATTTTCATCCTAAATCGTCCAAATTTTCATCGCATCTATTGTGTCCGGCTTTGTGATTCGTCATACGCCTCAAAGCTAGCTTAATAAAGCTTAATAGCCTGCTTAATTCTAGCCAAAGGAAATACGAATTGCCGAGGGTAGAATCTGGCGGCGGAAAAGTCCCTCTCAGTAGTCGCCCAATGGCACCGTTATTGTATAGCTAATAAAATTTAATGATGTAAACGGATAACGCGAATTTATCTAACTTAGTAGCGCTCAGGGAGACGGCCGCTGAGGGGAAATCAATTAACGACAATATATCTGTCGCACATTGAATTATTACCGTAACAAGATATCGTTGAACGAAAACTCTTACACATTTAACTAAATATTTTCATATATAACTATTTCCATCGACTGTTTTCATTAAGCGTACCTAGATAAATTTTATTGATCCAAACCGAATGAAAATTTTAAATTACTTAAGCCGCTCTTTCACTCAAAATTAATTGATATTAAGTGTAACGATAAAGGTATCGCGTGTCCGAGAAACCAATAATAAATATTGATTCGTGGTGACATTTGAATAGTACTCAATAATTAATGGTACGGTTATTGTGTGCTCTCCGTAATGGACCGATAATTGTCCATCCAAACAGAACTAACTCTGTTAATCACAAAGCGACTCACACCTACCCCACTCAGCACATGGGTAACGTGAAAGTCGCGTTCATTATTTAATTATTAACACTACAATCGACCCAATTTTGATTTCTATTTGACATTTCGATTATGCTTGGTAGCTCATGGCGCAGCCATTTTGTGACATCTGTCCTCGAATGTGTTACGAACTATAAAATTCAATTTCCCCAATCGGGCAGCTCGGCACATTTATTATTCATAGTCAGTACATGGACTCGCGGCCACTAACAGATGTGATCTTTTACGTGAAGGATATGAGAGATGTTATCAATATAAAATATTGAAATGTAGCTATTTCTTAAAGCTAGTGTTGTGTACTGTAAGAGAAATCAAATAGTATCCACATTACTTACATTTTTTAATATACAAATAATCTCGTTAATTGAAAAGTAAGATATAAAGTTCAAAATATTGAAATCATTTAATTTCCTAACAAAATATTATTTTAAAACATACAAATAAAATATTCCATTTCGTTGATGAATGGAGCACTAAAAGGGTCTAATCAATTTATAAAAGAAATATCGTATGAATACCTCGATCGATTTCATTATTTGTATCCGATTACAACACCTAAACAAATCTCCATATTCAAAACAAAAACGATGCCACAAGAAATTTTGCACGGCTGTGGATCATAACGTGAACGGCAGGTAATCGACTTGAGGTCGAGCTACTGAACGCATTAAATAATGAAACCCTATCGATGTCCATTTCTGTAATGGCTATATCGTATCAGCTGGTCGATTTAAATGTATGATCGGAGTGTTTCGCCGTGAGCCAATAAATCAATCCATGTCGTCGGTAATGCACAATCCATTTGCTCGCATGTAGCATAATTGCTGTTAGCGCCGCCCAATAGCCACTTTAGCCTCGATGCTCCCCACACGCCCGCCGTCCCTCGCCCGCAGAAGCTGGAGCCTGCTCGAATTAGCCTTCTGGACTCTAATGGCTGATTTTCTAGCTCACGAAGCCGCGGCAAATGTCCGTGCTTACGCCACTTAAAGGCGGAGAAAATGGCTTAAGTGCTTTCTCTATTATACTTAAGGTCGTTCGTGAAAAGGATAATTTTCAACTCTCGAACTCCCCGCCCGCCCAAACGTTAGCTTTATGTGGATATGACGTGCGTTTAAAGGGGAATTCTGAACTATTTTCTAATATAATTGTAATAAGCATTATTTTTACATAAAATAGAAAAATAATAATTACACGTTTTATACTTCTTAATTAATACAGAAAAGTAATGAAGGAAATTTATATCTACTTAGTATTCAAATGCACATGTTATAAAATAGATAAATATTTTTATATTTTTGAATATACAATTGTATTTCAGTATACTTGCGGCTCACCCTCGCTTCGCTCGGGTTCGTCGCTAGGTTCGTTTTAAGTAGATATAAATAGTTATTAGCCAGAAATTATATGGTTAACGCCATATAATTTCTGTTTTTCGTTAATTTTTCTGATGTTTTAATACTTGTTATCCTATTCCCGACTAAGAGAAATCCAAAAAATCAAATATGTATCATAAAAATTGGTTCAGCCGTTCTTGTTGTTGTTATAAATGTTGTAACTAACACGACTTTGTTTTATATATGTATATGTATATTTACCTTATTTTACCTTACCTTATTTACCTTATTTTATATTTTTTATCTTTATAAGAATTATGTATTTACGAAAAAAAAAATTAGCTGAATTGGTCGAGCCGTTCTCGAGTTTTGCGCTTAGCAACATTCATTTTTATTTATATAGAAGATTATAAATAATAAAAGTATTACAAAATCAAGAACACTACTTTGTAATATCCTCACTATCAATACTTTGTATTACCAACAACGGAACATTCACACTTATCTAACGTTAAGTGAGATATATTTTTAAGTTGGGTAACCTATTGTCAAGGCAAGCGGCGCGAGGGTCGCGAAATAAAGCTTCTCCACCAAACAATAGTTCCGGCCCTTTGTCGCGCTCCAAGTTGAGTAAACATTAGTAGTTGAGGGCATTGTGACCGCGGCTTAAGAGGTTACGGCTAGATTATTTCCACTTGCCCTCCTTACCTTTTGTTTGTTTGATATATTTTTGTCTTTGTGAAAACTCTTTGCTATCTAAAATTTATTACTCCAAGTAATGTAAAGCCTTGTTACACAATAAAAACATAAATGTTTTGTATTATATTGTTAGATTAGACCTAAGTGTGTATTTACCTAAATACCTACATAATATATTTTTTAATTATTAAAAGCAATAACCCAAAATAACGAAGTCCAAAATAACTATTAACCCGTAAAAATTGACTTGAAACCGAAAAGTCACGATCACATAATAAATTACTGTTTCAACATTAACACCTACTTTCCATAATAGCCGATAAACCAAATTTAGTTTTCATGTAGCGCACCCTCCGCTGCTACTTATATAATAAGCAATGATCAATGGAGAATAATCCCATTGTGCGATACGCAGACAAAAAACCATATCTGAATTATTCCGCTACGGTCGCGTTAATATCTCGATTACATTAGCGTACGGCGTATTGTTGTCGCCCGCTACTCCGCTCTCGCACTCAAAGGATTACGCATCAAATGTTGACAGTTGCAGAAAAGACAAAGAACGTGTGTGTGCTCATTCCGAACTATGCATATTAGTCGTGTTTATTTAAGTCACTAGCAACACAATAATGCCGTGTTTTCGCCAGAGGCGCTCCGACTTCGCTGAGCGCCTTGGGGCAATAAAATTAATGAAGCATAGAGATGGGACCATTTTACTTGTATTATTCGTCTCCTGCGGGCTGAGACTGAAGCGAATGTCCATTAGTTCTGTTTTAACATGTTAGCGAGGTTGAAACGTTGTAAATGCGATTTACTCTACAGAGGGTGGAAAAGTAGCCGGAGAGATTCGGTCACGATCAATATTCGAAGATCCAATGAAATTTAAACTTGCACTTACGAGTAGCTATCGCTTATTTCTTATACATATTTAAGAGTATCTTTTGAACCCTTCATAAGGAAGTTGTTACAGGTAGAAATTATATATACCTAATTTATTTTTTGCTCTGAAAGTGTTAGTGTGTCATTTTTTGCGTTTCCAGTTTTCACACAATAATCGCTCAAAATGTTATACGATGTAATATGATGTTAAACAAGCAACGGAATTTGGGAACAAAAGCAGTATTAGGCGCATTAGCGGTTAATAGATGATCAGTGAGCGCGCGCCTCGCCGCAACACTATCGCGATAGGATCTTCTGATCGGAGGGACTAGGGTGCATCTCTATTATAAACGTTATACGCGACGTATTAACACTGATGTATTTGTATTATATTAAACTTGTAAGCCTTCTAAAGTATCTGCTATCATAACGAGTAGCATTATATTATAAAAATGAAATTATAATTATGAAAATAATAAATTAAATTACATATATCTATATATAGGTACATATAATAATTTTTTTTTGGAAAATATTATTGAAATAGTCATTATTATATGCCGAATCTATAGTTTTTAGAATTTTGTCTATCTGTTTGCCTGGGAACGCCTCACGAGAAAACCACTGGACAGATTTTGGTGAAATTTGGTATGATGATGAAAAATATCAGCTCTGAGAATTCTATACTAATATCGAACGCGAGCGGAACGAAGGGGGGTTGCTAGTCAATAAATATAATATATAAAAATATTATAAAAGTAAGAAAACACCGAATGCGTAAAAAACAAACTAAAAAGATTACAATATTATGGCTATCGAAGTTGTGCAGTCGGGTTTTTTTATTCTTTTTAATACCTACAGATTTTTAGCTTCAAGACCAATTAATTATGTATTTGGAGTTTTATTTAATAATATCTTATGGCAAATTACTTATAAACATTTACCTAAGTTTTATATATTTTTGATAATTGATAATTTGCTTGAAAGATAAAAAAAATTTCAAGACTAGACAATAATAGATAGACAATAATTACGAAGGAACATAGGATCGAACTTACATACATTCAGGCATACATACAGGTCAAACACATAACCCTCCTTTGGGCCTCATCGCAGCCGTATAGTTAGTTACCTACGACATAACTACGAGTAAATAGAGTAGTAGGTAAAAATATGAAATTAAATTAAAAAAAATAAAAAGCTTAAGTTTTTTTAATTTCATTTATGAATTAGGTATTTTGTTCGACGAATCATAATTCGTAGAACTTCGTAGCTTTATCGCTCGAAGCTTTTCTGGTGTGATACGATCAAAATGGAGATATGGGAGTATCACGTAAGGACTCACAGTGTATAAATCCTCGTACCTACATATAAATCCGTACATATACCTGAGCCCAATGTAAAAAAGTGATTACTATAACCTTTACTTCATGGTAATTAAATTTGTTTTAGGTTTTATTTAACTTATTTACATTTCAACTATTATTGTACAAACTCGCAAAAGCAAAACAATAAAGAGAAACTTATGTATATCTTATTAATATAAAGCCACACTGTCATACGTAGAAATACTTCTACGAGTATACCTTTTCAAATCGTACAAAGTGTAGGTGATAAACCGTTGCACGCTCATTACATGAACATTTGCTACTGTTATTACCATATCAAATGATTATCTGATGTAACGGCCGTCGAACACTTGGCTAGTACTCGAGACAATAACACGATTAGCAAAATGCAGTAACAAGAGCCCCAGGCGAGGGATTTGCCGAATTATCGATGCTTATCAGGACGCTATATCGATACGCTCATCTAAGCTTTTAGCGCTCTTTGAATTGAATGTTCCATTAAATAGGGCTTAAAATGCCAGTTTAGAAATAAAAAATGAATTTTATTAGAAGTCGATAATAGTTAAATTAAATTATACATATTATTTAGATTTATGTAACTGTACCAAAATATTTAATTAGGCAGGTTAACATATTCCACAAGTTCAATTATTTGCACGGATTTTTACTACAGTAGGTAAATAATATTATTCGAATAACCCACATTTGAACTTATTTTAAGTCATATGAACTATGCAAGCATAATATTATATTTGAAAATTCATAAACACTAAAACAACACACTAATTTTAAAACTTACATAATGTATCGCGATCGCGCTATATGCTATGACAATATAAAAGCGTGTACAAAACTAAGCGAGCTATACGCCAATGATAAAGTTTTATGGGGCTGTTACGTAGCAACAATAGGCAGAGAACGCGCCAGAGGCTCGGAGGTTTAGTGCATCCGATTTCCATACAAAAACTTCTATTTCCCGAACTAAATGGCACGTGAGAGGACATAAAAATGCGGGAAAACTACACAAAAGTTCGCTACTAGTAGAGTAACTATTTGCTTTTATGTTATACTTTTTACGCAAAAGTATACGCATTACATTTCCTAAATGTGGGCCATTATTGTAGTTGTACTTTGCTTTTACCTCGTTTATTATATCGATAAAATTATTTTTCATATTAAAAAAAAGACAACAATCTAAACGAAAGTGACATGGATAAAGTAAGTAATAGAGGTAACTAACATAAATACTAATAACATAAACATAAATATTACTTATTTATTTCTTTGCAATGTACGTACTAGAATCATTATAGTAGTATATAATATTTAACCCTATAAAAATGAGCTTTTAAACAAAGGGTCACGAAAGGTCAGCTAGTCTGATGTTCCAAGCCAGCACACGTCAAACTGAACTTGAACCTACCGACTTACTGCCATCTCCTGAGGAAGTGATTTGTCAGCGCCGCCCCCTCTCGATTGAATAATTCAAATAATCGAGGTATTTATATGTAAATAGCGGGCTACATCTCCATACGAAAGGGACGATCGGTACATAAATTTGGCAAGAAGACGCGAAAACTGCGACGCACCAACGAACTGATTTATTCGGCAAGTTTTGGAAAAAGTGGCTCGCGTCAGGAAATGTTTGTCTAATCGCGTTTATTGCCCCGACCCGGGATTTTTCGCCCCGAAGCACAGGGGGCGAACCGTTCCTACATTAGATACCAATATTAGAATAACGTGGAAACAAGTTTATTCAGGCTCAGAAATTGTTTACTTCGTTGCTTTTTGAGAAATAGAACCAGTGTACAGTGACATTTTTGAATTCTAAAGGTTATAAAAATATAATTTTTAAATTCTATTACTAAATTAGATATATGAAATAAAATATAATTAAATAGCTACCCTTCCTCAAAATGAAATAACTATTAAGGATTCAATTACATAAAAAATTCAATTAATAATTAAGACGGTGCAGACGTATATTTCATGGAAACAATATTAAAGGTATTTCAAAACGTTCTCCGTAACGAATATCATATGTTCGTAGCGCAGTTCGTGGCACTATTAGTCATTGTGAGCGGCGAACCTCATCAATCATACGCGCTCTAGGTAAAGTGTTAATAATCGTTACTACCACTATTGTTATTTATTAGCCACTTAATTCGCATTCAAAATAGATATTCCTTTTTAAATTAGTCCCTAATAGATTAGAATAAAAAAGCCATTATCTTAACAAGTATTATAATTATATATTAGGCATTCCCGGTGTCGTAGATATTAAAGAAATAAAAAATCAGAAATTAGTGTAGGTAATGTTATATATACCTAATTCTTTTTTATACATTTTATTTTTGGCCTGTCGTAAAGGATCTGTATCGGTATCAATGAGCCACAGTCATCATCATCTCATGCGGTAGCTAAAGGTTAAGTAAAAAGCTTTTTGGGAGAGTTGTTTTTAGGCTGTTCCGTGCGAGACTCAGAAACGAAGAACTACGCAGTAGTAGTGACATTACTAATAGAATCTCTAAGATGAAGACGCAGTGGGAAGGGCGGATCGTTTGTAGAAGGTAGAATCTTAGGTGAGGCAGACAAAGTCCAACAGTGGACGTCGTTTGACTCCAATGATGATCAACATGATGTTGACAAAATTAAACTATTATCTACATCCTTAGTATTCTTATTGTCTAAAAGTCTTCAGAACGCAATTTGATATATTTAATAATAAAAACTTATTATAAATCTATACTATAGCCTTATGTCTTTCAACAATAGGTTATAAATAGATTTAGTAATTACCACCTTATATAGCAAAAGCTAAGCAAAATAGACTTCAATATGTTACGGTATAGACCATAGAGAAATAAGTAAGCGAGCAACAAAACGCACTTTATCAGGTGGCAGGAGCTTTATCTCGCTAATGACCAACCCCTCCAGAGTAATAAAAGTCGATATCAACCTCCGCACTTTGGCCAGTGCTTGAATCATCTTGATACTTATAATTTATATATGTGCTAAAAACAAAGTAAATTATTAATTTTAGTATACTTTAATAACAATCAAGAATAACTGATTTCTTAGATTAAATTGTATTTACGCTCTACATCTTTACATTTACGCAAAAAATGCAGGGGAATAATTATTATCATATTAAAATACTAAATTTTGGGATTAACGTACTATACTCGTATGTGCTTACTTATAATTATATGGGTACTTATAGAAAGACTAGTGACGACACGAAAGAGACATTTCATTAACAAACAAAAAATAATAATTCGCTTTGCACTTTTTTCATCGCGCTAAAGTCAATAGCACCTACTATCTAATTAATCCAAGGATCAAAACATATCGAACAAGTGTACGTTCACTGAAGCGCGGCTGAGAATTAGCGGCGGCGGGAAAGAAAAATGATTGTGACAGTCCGGCGAACACCGCTAATGGAGTCTGCGTCTGCGAAACGTTGCCACTTACAACACTGAGCTAGTGAACAAATTACAATGAACGTCATTTACAGGAAAAAAGCAAATGAATT